GCCAAATGACATCAGCATTTGGTGCTGAGAACAAAAGCACGCTTCAATATCTTGTAGAAACGCGCGGGTATAGCAAAAAAAAAAAAATGTATCTTGTAGTTTGCATATCGCACAGTCGACAGGTGCTAGAGATTTCTATGTCAGTGAAAGCCGCAAAAGAAGCCCCAAGGTATCTTTTTTTTGTTGTTTTTAATTTTTTGCTCATTCATAATTTATATTAATTATAAACAAAAGCCACATCAGCAGCTGTTACTTTTGAGATACTTTGCGGTTACGCTTGCTGCTGGTAATTCGAGCTGTGAGCTTGGCTTGAACCGCATGTGATGCTAATTGATCAGTGACTAAATGTTTGGTGTAGAGGAAATGCCTCAAGTTACCTATTGCATAGATAATATATATTATCTAGAATTATATTATATACCCACAATTTAGTGGGCAATTAAGTAAAACTCGGCGTTTTTCAATTGCGCTGCGTGACAAATTGGTTCCCGTTGATTGGTTAGAAAACAACTTTAATTGGCTTTAACTGTTTCAATGAAGCTAAAATAAACATTTAAACATTTAATTATGTGGCTTGAAATTTGCTGAGATTAGTAATTAGGTAATTTGAGGTTTTTATATTCCAAGATTTCAAACCAAAACAAGTAAGACTGGGGACTCTAGCTCTTATTATTGACCAATTGCTTGGAAACGGAGTAAGTTATCGATTATAGGAAACCAACTCGATCTTCGCAGGCACTAGGAGCACCTACATCTAAATTCAATTCATTTCAAGTCTACAGCTCTTATATGTTCTGAGATCCTTGCGTTCATACATACGGACGGGCGGATGGAAGGACAGACAGACGGACCTGGCTAGATCGACTCGGCTATTGATGCTGATCAAGAATATATATGTATACTTGATGGGGTCGAAGATGCTTCCTTTTGCCAGTTAAACACAATATACCCTTATACCCATTTGTAATGGGTTCAGGGTATAAAAACTTATTAACTTGTGTATAGCATTTTTATGATTAACCAGTTTTAATTTCCAAATTTTGTAAAACATATTCCGAAGGCAAATCAAATATCTACGCAGTAAATTTTCATTTTCATTTTCATTTGTACAATTCTCATATTTGTTAAGAAACCAAAATGTCAACAGTTTGAATAGGTTTATGCAATTGCTTATCTCCCGAATGGGTTCTGATAAGAAATGAAAACGTAGGTCACTATTTGGACGATAACTTATCACAGTTTCGGCTGCCATGCGCACTCGTGAGTGCAACATGTGGCATGCCTTAAAGAACAGTATACACGCCATCAACTGGTAAACTGACACCAAAGACGACATGCCCACGTGACCTTCAGACATGTGTCCATGTGTCGAATGTGTGCCGTGAGTTCTCAGTCTCAGAGTCGTTCTGGTTCCCTCTTTTGGTTAACTGTGCCAAGCCGAAAGTGATGCCACAAATCCGCTCGAAGGTGAAACTTGGCCACTTGGAACGGCGACGCAGCTGGCTGCACTTGTTACACGGGGAGACAATCGGAGGCTTGCTTGTGGACAGACAGCTGTCCATCTTGACAAGCACCTTACCATGCTAGGCCCCAACTGCTGTTTGTTGAGCTCAGCTGTTTTGGTCAATGAACCCCTACACGATCCACTAGAACCTGTTCACTGCGCTCCAGTTACTCAAGACGCCTTCCCAGTGACATTGAAAGATCTTGGCAAAGTGCAGGCCTCTTAATTACTTACCACGAATTGAGCTATAAGCCGTAAATAAGAGCGCATATTTGGGCAGCCTTATCGGCGAACATTTCACATAAAGCTCAATAAAAAAGTATTTTACGCAAGACGCGTGCTCGAAAAAAAAAACGAGCCAAGCTTTAAGCTTGATTTGTGTGCGTGGGTGTAGGGAATTTTATATAAAAAAAAAAATAAACAAATTAACTGAATAATATGAGAAGAGTTTCAGATACAAACAAAATCGCACGCACGTCAGCGTCTTGGCATTTGTTGAGTGGGTGGCGCAACAAATTGCTGTGCAAAAAGCAGTTAAACATGGCGAGATCTCAATGATTCAGTTACTGAATCAGCCATTTGAAAGGATTCGCATCCAAATATAACAAAAATGGTGGTAAATAATAATTAAATAAAATCGACTTTACTTAAGCGTTCTTTATATAACTTAACCTGGATTTGTGCAAATGTATGCAACAGGCAGAGGCAAGCATCTCCGACCCCATAAAGTCTCTATATTCTTGGCCAACATCTATAGCCGAGTCGATCCATCTGACCGTATGAATGAGCTCGTCGATCTCTGAACCTGTAAGAGCTAAAGACTTGACAGCTCGAAAGTAGGTACTCCTAGGTACTCCCTTTTTGCCATGTAGCTTCTACTTGGCATGTAGCTTCAAGAATAGTATATACAGATCAAATGTCTTTTATTTTATGGCTACCAGCATCGCCCTCTAGCGTCAGCTGCATTTGGTGTTGGTAGAAAAAGGTTCGGGGTATCTCCTTGTCGGGCACTCCCGACTAGCGGCCTCTACTTGTTGTAGCTATTGAGCCACTCATTAATAGAAAATGTTTTCCCAATGTTACTCAAATGCATTATCTATACAAACCTAATTACTTATGCGCGTTCGTAGAGTTCTTATAGATATAACTTTATTTTGAACTCTGCGCCTTTTAAGTGCTGCCCAAGTGCGGCTTCTGACTTATGCACAGAAACCAATCTCGGTTCTATTAGTCATTTACCGCATGCGATTGGCATGCTAGGCACGTACAGAGCTGTCCCCTCTGTCTCCGTTGAGGTATATCATATATGGCATATAAGTATGTGTCCCATTCATATGCACAATAAAATCAAGCCAGTTGCGCATGTAGCTGCTAAATGAAACGAGATATTTTTATGAGTGCGGCGCAAAAAATAAAAACCTTTCAACTCGAATTATGCACAATAGGCATATAAATATTTGGTTTTATCTAGCTAAATGCTTTTGGCATAAATTAAGATACAGAGGTTGCCTGTGTGAACGGGTTGCAAGCACAACGAAATATGATACTCAAAAAAATTACATAAATTATAGAGAAATGCTTGCCCATGAGTTTGTAGAATATAAAACTAATATTTCCCATTTTAAATAAATGTTGACATAAATTATGATAATCATTTAATAAACATGTCACTTACTTCAATCAATAATACTATAAGAACAGCTTTAAAAGGTAATATAAAATTTAAAAAATTTGTTTACAATCCAAAGAAAATTGTTTCCTTGCTCATATTATAAAAATATATCATTTTGTAAAATCATCTTCGCAAGCGTTTTAATGTTCTTAGGATTGCCTGTAAATAAAATATTTGTTTAGCTTTCTTAAAGACCTATTTTCCATTATTAAGAATCGCACTTTTTTTTTGAGTGTACGAATACAAACTAACGTGTGCTATCTAAGTAACTATTTAATAGCTCGACATATGACAACATGTATCAGTTGTTGCTGCACATAGATATTGGCAGGCATGTCATTCGATTAATTTATGGGTTAATATGTTCCTTTCCAAGCATGTGGGTTGCATTCACAACTATCTGAGAGATAAGCGTAGCAAATTCGTATAATTAACCTCTGATTAAAGTAACTTGTTTGCCATGAACTCCATTTTGTTAAGAACCAGCATTCAGTCAAATAGTTAAAGGCCGTGACCATTAAAATAGCCAAATATGGCATAATTAGAAGAGAAGCGTTAATTGATATTTGAGCACGCAAAATGGACATAAGCAGCAACAACAACAAAAAGTAAACTTCAAAAAAATTGGCAAACAAACCAAAGATTATTTTTATTTGACGGTCTCTCGACAATGTTGAAAGCTTGTCGAACGTAAAGATCAACAAAGAGACACACAACAACAATAATACTAATAATGATGATGATGATGATGATGATGATGGTGGTGGTGGGGTTTGTGGTAGATACTTTTATATACGCTTTTTCAATTGCCCAGCCACTGCGCTCAATGATGGAACTTAATGTTCACTTTCATTTGCAATTAAAGAGCTAGCTGCAAATTCTCAGACGAGGCGAGACTCAGTCGCTGTTCGATTCCCAAGCGTGTCGGCCATAAGATACAACTGATCTAGTTACAGATACATTGCGAACTTTTGCGGCGCAAATCAAGCGAACGTTAACGGTAATTAATTGGCAATTCTCAAATATCTCCCTGCTCTCCTGCTCGTAATATATGTTGTGTGTGTTGCGTGAGCCAAGCCCAAAAAAAAAAAAAACAAAAAAAGAAAAACTCGTAAAATCGCCATCTAACTTTAGACGATTTCATCATATTCTGTTTTTGCGTTTGTTTTGCGTATTCATTAGATACACGCGGCGTGTTGTTGTTGTTGTTGCTGGTTCAGTTATTGTTACTGCTTGTTTTTTTTTTTTTGCAAATTAGCTAATATGCGCTTAGCCTCATTGGTGAATGTTTATTTTGAGGCTTGTACGTCATCGGCGTCAAGTCTTGTATCTTGCAGATACGTAAGCGCGCTCTACTCCTGCACTCAACTTACATTTTGTGACATGGTTTATCAATTTACCCTTATATCTAAGCAACATGCAACAATATGAAACAACAGCCAGGTGTTGAAAGCAGCAGACAACAAAAGATACAAAAGTATCTGATAGCTGACAAACTTTTACTGGCCATTAGCTTTACTTTTAGGCACACACGCCTTAAATCCACGAAACTGTCGTATATATATCTATGAATATTTGTATATACAAATTCAAATCTCACGCTCTGACCTTTTGCAGATACGACAACGAATAAAGCGGAGGAGTGGACCTGTGAGAGACACCAACTCGAGACACCCACAACGATCGCAGCCCAGACTTAAATTATAAGCCAGGCTGCAACAAAATTTCCATATGATTTTGGAGATAATGTGAAAAACTTGCAGCCACAACAGGAACAACAACAACGTCGAATACGAATTTCAAATGTAAGCCAACAACAAAAACCGCTCAACATTTATTTCGGCTGAAACGTTTCGCGTGCCTTCAAAAAAAAAAAAGAATTGTGAAAACAAAAAAAAACTATATATAAATTGAAGCATTAGGCAAAATTATTACTAAAGTTTTTGAAAGTGCAGTGAAAACGAAATATGATTAATTAGCAAATGAGGCAAAAATCATTCGTTTATAAATATTGTAGCAAAGCGCGTTGCATGTGAGGGAAAGATTTTCGCCGCGCGTTTTTGAATCGCTCGCAACGCGACACAAAACGCGCGCGTTTTCGGTACATTTTGCGGAAGCTTCGAAAATAGTAGAAAAAGTGAAAAACTTTTTTAATCAGCAAGTCCATTGCATAAATTAAGTGGCTGCCAAATCTCTTCGCGGTTTTCTATTGTGAAAATGGAAATGACAGCATCGGAGTCGCGCCAGCTGGAGGCGATTTTTATCGCCACGCCGCCCTGCACACCTCTCGTCACCTCTCTAACCCGCACGACAACGCCGCGCGATCTACCAACCATGTATCATTTTGATTTTGGTAAGTGCAACAGCTAACAGCCAATAAAATAACGAGCAGTTAATCAAGTCTTAAGCAGCTGGCACTTTATAGCATCCCGCCAATTAGCATAAGTACAAGTATCTCCAAGATACTTTAATTGAGTGGCACTTAAGTGCATTGGCTTTCATGAATTGAATATGCACAAACAAAACACCAATTCGTTAACCAAAATGCCGACTATAAACTTTGGCTATAAAGTGCGGCTTCGTGTCGAGTTGCGTCTACTTCCGCGCAGGCGCATGCGAGCCGTTCAGAAGGAAGTGCTTCGAAAAACAGCTTAGAAAACACACACAAAAAATATATGCATATCAATTTATTTAAATAGAAAATATATATATTTATATTTATGGGGGACTCACGGAGGTGGGTGAGGTTATTTTGAAAAGCGACAAGCAATAAAAACAAAAACCTGGTGAAAATCAATAAAATAAAAATCTCAAAAATCCAAACACATTCAGCGCCACTTAAAACTCAATCAAATTCAAATTTTACACGAAAAAGGAACTGGAAATGAAAATGTTTTCCTGAATTACAACGAAAAAAAAGGCAATTAAAAGAAAAACGTGCACGGAATAGAATGGAAAATAGAAAAAAACTTGAATGAAAAAATAAGTTAAAATTCTTTGAATTTGTTTTTTTCTAAGCTTTTGTAAATTTATGAAAGCTGAAACAGATAACATCTGTGTGAACTATAGCATTTTGTAATTTGAGAAACTTTTTTATTTTATACCCTTGATGTTTTCTCGACGTTACGTCCTTTTGTCTATACGTTACACATATAGAAGAAGACATCTCCAGCCCCTTAAAGTACATACATATATATATTCTTGACAACAACAGCCGAGTCGGCACCGGCTGGATCGGACCACTATATCATATAGCTGCAAATAGAACCTACCGTAGACGACCTACCTTCAATATCATCTCTATAAGTTATACCATTAATACACTTACATATTAAAGTCGTTTGATTATTAGAAAGCTTTCTATAGCTGCAAGTTCGCAGTCAGCTGTTTAATTGCTGAACAAAGTTAATAACAATTGTTGTGGGGCTCAACTTTCTATAAGTTTGCACATTGCATGACATCAGAGACTATTGCAAATAGTTTTGTTTGTGTAGTTGAATGAAGAAAAAAAAATGAAAATGCAAAAGCAACACCAAACGTGGGAGGCATTTAAAAAAAAAGCACAATACTCAAAAACAAAGCACAGCTAAAAAAAAAAAACACAAAAAGAAGAAGCCAAGCAAACGACAACTGACGACAAATATAAAAACAAATCGAACGATGACATTTCCAACTATGTCAATTTCCATTTAAAGCCGCCAAAATTGACACGAATTCATTTAAATTCAATTAAATATAAGACACAGCCAAAAAAAAAAGAAATTTTAAGAAAATTCAGTATAATTTGTTTGACTTTTGTAGAGCAAACGATCAATGTATGGCATAAGACCCAATATTCCAGTTTCTTTGCAAGGTTATAAAAAATCAAATTACATAAAAAACAGGTCAACTATAACTTATGTAGATACTATATTACCTATTATTCAAACTTTATCTAAATGATAATCATTTTAAAAATTTTACTTTTATTAAAAATAAATCATGATATTTATTTGTTAATTTTACTCGAAATTGAATTTCAAATGCAAGCTAATTAAATATTCGCCCGTTCAAGATGCCTCTCCTCTATTCTTCCTCTTGCTTTTCAACCAATACCAGTGAAAGGTATTTAATAAGCATATTCAATAATTTATGTGTATATGTATTTAGTGCTGTGAAGTAGCGCCTGACAGAATTCGAGCGTTGAGATACTTTTCAAATCGAGTCACGTTTCAAAATTGCGTGCCAGTTTTAACTAATGCTCGACAATGCGTCAATATCAAGCTGAGTTATTAGCAAACTATGCTCAGTGTCACATATCTGGCTTAAAGGGGTCTTGTAATGGGTCTTTACTCATATTTGGCTTAAATAGGCGCAACTTTTGGGCCCGTTACAGTTGCCGCACGGCTAAGCACTGGGCGTGACCCATTTAGCAGCCCACTTAACCGACTCGGACTTAAACTCTGCGTGAGTTTCCTTGACATTGAACTACATTCAACTGCGTTAGAAACCCACACGATAGCCCCCAACAATAATAGAGACAAATTCCAGTTTCATTTTTGCACATAGAACGAATTCCAAAGTCAAATACAACCAGTTTTTATAGATTTTTTGCAACGTAATTCATTCGACAAGTAACACAATAACAACAACAAAATTTATTGCCAATTCATAAAAATAAAAATAAAACTATTTGTTATTGACAAATTGTATTCATATTGTTATTTGCACGTTCGCAAGACCTGTCTTGGGTTTTAGCGCATTTTAACTTTTTTGGTAATTCTTTCCATGGGGATCTTTCTATCTAGATTTGAATCAGTTTTCAGTATTTAAATAATTCCAGTGTAATTTTTAACATACAAACAACATTTACTACTGTTAAACTGTGCAGCTTGAACGGAAAGCTTGCTGTAGCTTTCTGTTAAGCACTGTACAGTGTTGCCGAGCTGCACAAGGCTACTACGCTTTGTAGTAAACGAAAAGGTAGTATGGAAGTTTAATTTAGCCGAATTGCTAAACGTTATTGTTTTTATGAGCATATGCAAAATTAATAAAGGGAAAAAATGAAAATAAGAATGTATTTATAAACTATTTTATATTTATAATTTTTTTATTATACCGAAAGTTAAATTTTAATAAGCCATTATAAAATTTTTAAAATATCTTAAACTCTATGACAACTCGTTTTAGATGTTTGTTGCTATATTTTATGATTGTAGTGTAACAAGGGACCCAAAGGGAATTTACGACGCAAGCTCCAGATATAGGGGATATATTAAGAACTAACTAAAAGTAATCCGACAATAGATGAAGTCTGAGACTTGGCTCAACAAATACCTAATTGAAACACATCTTTCTTTCTTTTTAATTACTTAATAGTACCCATACAAATTCATCAGCACAGTTGTTAATCGTTTTTGCCCTTTGACCCATTCCCAGCATAGTACAAATCAAATCAATAATTACCCGCCTTAATTAACTATCCCATGCAAAGCTGAACTCTTGTCTCTATATGATACATAGTCTTTCACACTTTCTAAAAGCAATCAACAGCGGCAACAATGATAAACTTAGGCCAAACAACAAATAGATCAACATCAATTTGTATTAACAACAAACAACTACAACAACAACAACAACGGCAACAGCAACGATAACAACAAAATTGTTGAACTGAAAACAGAACAGAAAATTGTGCAATCTGCAAAACGCGTTCGGAAAAGCGAAATACAAAAACTCAGGAAAAACAACGCATAAGCAAAGCAACAACAACAACAACAACAATAACAAAACTTTGTTACAAGGGGAGCGCCAATAAACAGAAATGGTTTCATTACAACGCTGCAACAGTGCAGAGGGGGTGGTGGGGCGGAAGGGGGCAAGGGAGAGTGGGTGCAGTATAGATGGAAGACTGGCGGCTGATGACTGGAAGAAATAGAACTTAATTAGTAGAAAATACGCCTAAAAGTTGTTGCAACAAGACCGGCATACTTATGGATTCACAAAGAGCTAGAGAGAGAGAGGGAGAGAAAGAGAGAGAGAGAGAGAGAGGGAGATAAAGAGATATATGGTGAGCAGGGGAAAGGGAACTTTTTGTGCACTATCAAAAACAAATTGAAAATTGCGAGCTAATACTTAAATAAATTGTGTTGAAAAACCTTTGTTTTTATTAAATTAATATTTATTTATTTTTAATATATATATATATTTTTTAGTTTCCTGTACAATTGTTCAAGGATACCTATTGATTTTCTTAAGTTGAGTAAATTATACAATTTTCAACTGGCTAGGAATACATACATTGTACAATTATTATTAACTTAAAATCCCAAAAATTACTATTTGTTTAAGGCAAGATTTTATATGTTCCGTAATCATTATCTATTTCATTTTCGATTACTATTAATCTTGACAAGCATTTATCAAAAATCTTTCTAATGATTTCATGTCGACATTTTCTCTCAGTATATTTAGTACATAACTTGCTCGGGCATATGAAACATTGAATGTTGTTTGCCCATAAAAATTGAGTTCATTTTGTACGGCCTGCTCCCAAAATGCCAACCAAGCAAACCAAGTGCACTATTTTTAAGCACGCGCCCTTTCTTTTCGCCAGCGACAGTGCCGTGAAAATCATCGAGAGCATCCAAAGTAGAGTGCAAGATACAACATTTATTTTTGTCATGCCCAAGGCGTGACAATTAGAAGAGATTATGAAGTTTTATGGCAGGTCTGAGGCGCGTGGGCGACCACAAACGATGCCGACGACCCGCAGGAATATGTCGTTGTTGAATCGATAATTCCGAGAGAGACACCAGATACAAGATGCAATATATATGGTATATATATATATATATATATATATATGTGTACAGAACCATGGCGTGCTTCAAGTTCATTAGTCGGCAACATTTTCTCGGGCACGTGCAATAATCGAAGAAATGCTTCTCAAGGCAACTTGCATAAGAGTCGCCCCTTCCTCTGACGTCATCGGGCCAACTGTCAACTGTCAACGAGAGTTGGAAGAGACTGCGGATATGGCTGGAGCCTATTGTGATTTATTATGGTTAGCATCAAGTTGACTTTATCGCAGAGCAAATGGGATCGTACGGATCGCGCGGCCAGTTACAGATACAGAGGCAGAGGCAGGCACGGCTACAGATACAGATACAGATACAGATGCACATATACGAAAAGAGGCACTCAAAAGTGCATTCGCATTTCAATTAAAAACAGAAGCGACCAAAAAAGAAACAACAAAAATCGAAAGGAAACCGTAAAAGAAGAATGATAGCTTAGCTTATAAGAGCGAAGTTAGAATACCCTACAAAAAATATGCATGCCTTGACAGAAGGGGGATATTGTTTTGATTGA